CTTATAGTTTTCAATTTATAGATAGCTTGAGTTGTTCGTTCTCTATAGAATAAAGCAAACGCATGAAAATCAATTTTTTTAATGATCAATCATGATTGTATATCAGTTTTAAAAACCACAACTATGAGTTCTTACGTTTTACATTTTGTATGGTTTTCAGTTCATAAAACAGAATTTAGATCAGGCAAAAAAAATCTCTCAAATTTACACTAATTTTACAGAGGATGCCTTGTTTTTGAAATGAAATAAAAATAGTTACAAATAATTTTACACTAATTTTACCAACCAAGTATAAAATTAGGTGAACCTCAATTTACACCCACCAAATCATGGTTTTGAACGATATTGCAAGTCAAACATGCATGTAACGTTCAAATGGACGCATAAGAATCAAACAATGAAACATGAAAACAACATAAACTGGCACCCAAAAAACCAATTAAAGCAAGTGAACTTACAGAAAGCTGGTTTTTGGAAGCATCAAGCACCACCAAGCCAGGGATATGACCAAATGCCTCTGGCAGAAACTTGAGTTTCTGCCCCGAAAGATCCACCCGCTCCACCCCTTTTACATCAGCTTCCTGCAATATCTCATGTACTTGTTCATTCACCTCCTCTTCACTGCCACTACCACCACCACCACCTTTCTCATCATCATCTTCACCGGCATTCTTGTAAAGCTTCTCCAACCGCTTCTCAGCATCATTGAGCAGCTTCTCATAAGCATCATGCATTTCATCCAGCTGTATCAATGACTTATACACGCGCTTCTCTTTCTCAACTGATTCCTTGCATTCTTTCTCTTTTTGTGCCACGTGGGCCTGCCACTTGTCCGGATCAATCTCTGGAGGCCTGGGCAGGCCCACGATCTCTTGCATTTGTCGTGAGAGATGAGCCTCGATGTCTGCCAGTTGGGCCTTTGCGGTATCCACATCTTCGTGTGTGGGCCGCTCACCGATCAGTTTGAGGACTGATCGGGCTTGGGACACATCAGAGATTGCGCTGGTCATTGCCGCCAGAAGTTTTGGGTCCTTGAGTTGTGGCATTTGACCCACGATTGAAGCAGAGGAGGAAGAGGATGGGTCGGAGGAGGGTGGTTGTTCGATGTCGGATTGGATGTGGGAAATGACAGTGGTGCTGCCGAATGAAGGGAGACGAGACATGACGTAGGACAGAATAGGGAACGTTCCTGGATTGGGATCCATGGTGGAGGAAATTGTAAGAGCAAAAATTATGTTATGGATATGGAATGTTGAGAATTGATATTTGGAAATAGTGATTTCTTTATTTTTTTTATTTGATTAATAGAAAGAATGGATTAAACAAAAATGCTTTCATTCATTTGTAACATGGTGATTGTAAATAGTACCACTCGAGAATTTGGATGGTTTTTATCTCTGGTGTGCGATAGAGTAGCTAACTCTATTTTACAGGGTCAAAGATTCATAACCGTTAATTCACTATAAATTGTATCACAAGAATCGTTTTCACAGAATGAATCGTCACCAAAGGTTACTGAAAGAATGGAAATAGAGTAAAAGCAGTTACATGTCCCTATTTATAGAATGTGAGTTTATAATTTATAAGAACTACAATAACAAATAAGAAAAGGTCAATAGGACAGTCATTTGTATGGAACTTCTCCACAATGTTTTTTTTAATAAAAAATGGGCTGAAGCCCAAAAACCAAAGACTAAGAAACTACAATCCTAGAGGGGAGTTAGGTCAGGCAAGTGGTTCAAAACAGGGAAATGCAACTTTCAATGACACATATATCATTTTGATTACAATGAAATTACATTTGTTGCCCTTAAAATAAAGAAAAAACATGCACTTGTGTGTCCACTAATGGAGAGGATCCTAGTTTCTAGAAGAAGGGGAACATTATACTGTTAGCATCAGCTTGCAAAGCAAGAGAGAAGGAGAAAAATACCTCATTAATGGAAAAGCACAAATGACTAGAAGGACAACCTTCTTGCAGGCAATAAAGAGCATCCCAAAGTTCAACAATTGTTATGGAGCAGCAATCAGAAAAGCCATAGATAAAACCTTCTTGAGAGTTTCGAATCAAACCACCACACGCTGCATTCCCATTACTAGAGATCACAGACGCATCTACATTCAACTGCACACAACCTGGGGTGGAGCATTCCAAGCTAAAAATCTAACTTGATAATGCAGGATTTTGCTACAAGCTCTATCATTTACTTTAAGTGCGGTATAATACTCTTCAGTAAGAAAGGATTGCTAAAAATAGCATGATTCCTTCGCTTTCATATAGTGCTACAAGCTGTCATGGAATAGGGTTTGGCCACACACAAAGAAATCAGTCAATTAAGCTATCACTTGTCTCTGATAGGTCATGAGAAACAATATTTAAATCATTTCCAATATAACGAGATAGACGTTGTGATACTTACTTTCTAACCGAAATAGCAGAATATATTTTTTTGCACACAAAATGTAAATAAAGTGTAAGGTAAATTATTAATGAGATAAAAAAAAAGGACACAGTAAGTAGAGATTTTTGTAAGTTTTGTATATAACACAGTTGGTATACAATATAAGTGGAATGCATACTAAAACATCGCATAACTACAGAAGCAAAAACTCACAGCTCAAGCTCAATTCATAACTAAAGTACAAAAAATTTCCAATTGTTCTTTTTTCTTCTTCATATTTCATCAACTTTTTTCCCTTTCGTTTTAGTTTTTAGCCGCTGTTTTTCCTTCGGTATTTTTCATCACCATCAAATTATGAACTATATTTTGATATCAGTGGCAGTAATTACAATAGTGGGACCCACGATTAAGGAATCTAGGGCTTCCAAAATTCACCGAGCCGTAACCAAAACCATTTTGATACCCAGCCGGCGAGCACCTCCGGCGAATAATCTGATCCGCCACCGCACATGGCGGTGATTCGGAAGAGTGAGTGGCGCAGGACGAAGAAGACGGAGACGGAGACAGTTTCTTCAACGGCGAAAGAATGGTTCGGATTTTCAACGGATGAGTTAACGGCAGCGAAGTTCGTTTATATTCCTCAATTATATTTGCCAAATCTTCGTCGCTTGTGATAGAAATCAACGTCTCCAAGTTTCCGTTAGGTAACGGACACTTCAAGGTAACTGAGAAACCACATAAGTCACTAACCTTCATTATCAACTCTGTTAAACGCAAAAAACAGAGACACTCGAGTTAAATAAATTATCAATGAAAAAAGTTAAGATGATTGTTAATTAATTCCAAAGTGAAATGGAGCAAGGAAATTAGGAACAAACCTGAGAAAGACACAGAACGGTCGACGGCAAGGACTCTGGTGTGGCCGCCGCAGTAGCGAAGTTCGCCGTCGGTGGCGCGTGGGAGGATTTTTCCACCGTAGCTACAGAGGAACTTAGCAGTAGAAGTAGCTTTGGGTATGTGTTCCATGACAGGCACTCGTTTTGGGTAGTTAAAGTAGTTTCAGTAATAAGAAGATTGATCAGTTTCAAAACTCTGGATGTTTAACTGTGAAATGGGATTTGACGGGTATTTATAGGATTTGGGAACCTAAGCAACATTAAACGCGTGAACATCAAAAGCCACGCCCCGCGCTTGTATGTTCATTCATCGTTTTTTTTAGGGAGAGTAATGTGTAAAATAACAATCATATAAAAATGGAAAACACAATGTAACAATAATATTATTGTTCATACAACAAAATACTCTTGAAATTTATTCTCTTTCTCATCACTTCATCTCTGGTTATGCTTTGTCTTCATATCCTTTTTCCTCTCATTTTCTTCTATCAACAATAGCCTTAAACTATAGAAAAACAATTTAGTCATTAAAGAAAATCTCTCAACAAAACAGAACAGAAGAAATGAAAAATATCTTTTTGCTACATAGAAATGAAAATAGCTAATAAAATATCACTCTTACTAAGTGATAAAAATGTTTATGATTTGACACGACTTTACCGCCATAATCGATCTAATTTTATTGCTCTATCCGAATAGGCCACTTGAACATTTTGAAGGATCATGTGGAAAATGTATAGTAAAAGCTCGGTATACTGTACGTATAGTGTCAAATTTACTATTTGTAGTCATTTTCATTTGTCAACTCCTTAATTTGTTTTATTCATTAAAAAATAACGGGATCCCTCATATAATATCATTCTTTTAATATAATGTCTCGTACTAATGATATTAAAATAAAAGTGAAAAAATAGTAAATATGGTCTCTGTCATTTCCCACATCTTGTTTTGGTTTTTGACTACGAAACCAGTCACCACGTCTTGTGAACATAGGAAGGACACACATGATGTTACTTTTAACTCGTTCTCCGCTAATAGTGACGCGTGTTTAGGAAAACCGACATGGTTCCATATGCTGCTTTCTATCAGGAGTCAGAACGCACCACACAATCTCACATGCTTCTTCTACCCCACAATTGAAGCCACTGGATAAAATATTTAATTTTTTTCAGTAATTAGTAACCGAGGTGATAAAAGATGCATACTATTATTACATATTTGGATTCTACTTCACCATCCTAATATTATAACTTCTTCAAAATTTCACAATAACGATAAACAATGCAACCACTCAGCCATAATTTAGAAGCTCTCCAAATTCTCACCGTGCTACCAGTGTCAGTTCTTAAAATTCCTGCACTTTAGCTATCTGTGCCAATTCTTCTCCCACAATATGGCTGTTTGTGCCAATTCTTAGTGTCAAGGAAAGAAATTGGGAGAAGTTTGCCGGAAATGCATCGGCAGAAATTACGAGGGAGAAAGAAAAAGTTAAGTAAAAGCGTACTCAACTTTGGTGCAGTAAAATATGAAAGGGGAGGCTTCTATTTATAGCATGAGATTTTGTGAAGACTGTGAAGACATTAACAAAGTCTAGGCTCAACAAACTCATTAGCATGATTCACAATTTAATGATACATTGTGAGAAAAGGAAGTTTACGAAATCAAGTGTTCCTCTTATCCATAACCATTATAATTACAAACAAGCAATTGGATGGGTTCATCATCTATTCCAAACAAAAGTAATTGAATAAGTTCGAACCCCTCATGAAGATGAAACTCCAAATTCTCAAAGGTAATTTTATTCCTCATAATCCATATAGTGATAAACCAAAAGGGCATCCAAAAAATGAAGGCTAGCTCCAATACTTGCTTTAAAAGCAGATATGCAGTTCAGTAAGACATCGAGAATTATATGCTCAGTATGGTAAGCTGGTAACTCTTTGTTCTTAACTGTTCTTTCAAGCATGTCAACATAGTTTCCCTTATGTTTCTGGCTTTTTTCGGTGAGGCTTAAACATTATTATCTCTTAAGCTTCTTTAATATTTTGACTAGTCGGTGACAACCATTTTTTCATCTTGTATGATTTGGATTTTGGACAAATAATGATGCAGATCTTCCTTGGTTGAACAAAGGTAATCATAAGTATTTCCTCTTAATCTCAAATTTCATGTTTGCTGAGAATATTACTACATAGCTGTCTGATCAATGTCTTCCATTTAGGAAAACCTGGAAAAAAACGAGTCAAGATTGTTAAGATAAATATTACTCTATAACTATCTGAAGAAGCCAAAGATATTAAATCTAAAAAATCTCAGGTTTTATATTAATTGTTTTTGGGATGCTGATGCATGGGCAAAACAAGTCAAGATTAATTGTTAAGATAAAGAACATGAATCTAACGATGAGTTTGATGAAGATGGATTTGGAAGTTCAGGCGAGGTATTTTTAGTCACTGGTTGTTTAACTCAGTTTTTCTAGATGATAAAATGGAGTAGTGATCCTCTTCAAAATGATGTGTAAAACAAAGTAAAAATAAAAACGAAAAGATAATTATATCATTTTATTTATACATGTAAATATATTTTCATCCTTAGAATATAAAAGAAAAAAATGAAGTAATTTTCCAGAGATCTTTTTGTAGTACTCTCAAGTTTATCTGAGAGTCTGTTAGATGATGCTAAACAAATGCTTCTGGTCTTCAATGAAAAATCTTTTGATTTTGCTTATTGTTGTTCAAGGATTTATTGTTCAGTAACTTTGTGTCACTAGTCATTATAGATGGACGTTGATAGAGTGAAAGTCACGAAGACAAAGAGGATAATGGTATTGTGGTTGTGTCATTTGTTCTTGTTTTTGTCATCTTGTTGTCTAATGGTTATCACAGTGTGAATTGTCTTGGCAAGCTTATATACAAGACATAATGTTTTCAAGGGTGATAAGAATAATTTATGATAAAACAATTTTACTCTTTAGATATAATGTGATAATATTTTTATCTACATTTTGGGGATTTAAGTGTGTCTGCATCTAAAACTCCAATTTAGACCAAGAAAGATAAAATCTTAAATCTCTACTCATGAAAAGGCTGGTTAGGCTATCATCTATAGTTTGCTTTGTATTTATATATATTTTTGGTTGTGTCTTTGTATTTATATTAATTTACTCTCATTATTCCATTTGAAAATATTCTCTTTTGCTTCACAATTCTGGGGATATGGCCTGCCATTAAATTTGATTGTCAAAGATTGATTTTTCTCGTGCCACGAGAAGAGAATATTAGTTATGAATAACAAAATAGAGACAGACAAAATTAACAAGCAAGTCTTTCTTTTTTCTTTAATAAATAGTACATACACAGCTTACCCTATAAATATTTTTTCTTGGTCACAAAAATGTATAGAAGAATGTTAGACCACAAATTACCAACCATATGTTAGTTTAATAGTATAAAATTAATGATCAAAATATCAAAATTTAATTCATGGAAACGACACTTGTTTATAGGACTAACACTTTAATAAAATAAAAACAAATTGCGTTTTACTTTACCCAACAAAAATTAAGAACATTTAATTTAAAAAAATGCAAGTGGGGGATTATTATTAAAAATATGTAAATAGCAAGGTGATTACTATGAGATCACATGTCTCAAATTGGTGTCCCTAATCATATTGGGATCAATTATTTACATATATATCATCTAAAAATTCAGCTTACTTTTTCATTATAAAAATATTGTGACTTTTTTTTAATTGACATGACAATAAATAATTGGTCGGGATATTATTGAGTAGATAGTGAATTGTGATAGGTGATCCTAGGAAATAAGTGTATATCTCGCATTCCTCACACTATTGATTAATCACTGATTATTGGAGTTAGAGATGTTGAGTCACTCCCTCTGACCACCGTCATCTCCGGTGAAAACTTAGTTTCCGGCATGGCTATTACAACTACTCAAACACTATTATTCCTCTTCCAACTTCAACTTTACCCTTTTCCCATATTAGCCGTCGATTTTCTCTTCAATTCCTTCACCGGCATCACCAACACCACCACCAACATCACCTTCATCAACGACGCTCGTATCGACGCCACCGTAATCCGAATGACCAACGAATCCAACCAATACTCTTTTGGAAGAGTCTTCTACCCCACAAAAATCCCAATCAAACGCAATAACACTAATTCCAATTCCACTTCAATTTCTTCATTCTCCACTTCCTTTGTTTTCTCTATCTTACCTGAAATTTCTACTAGTCCTGGTTTCGGTCTTGCTTTTTTCCTATGCAATACAACTTCACCTCCCGGAGCACTTGCTAGCCAGTACTTTGGTCTTTTCACTAACGCAACTTTACCCTCTGATTTCCCTCTTCTCGCTGTTGAATTCGATACTGGTCAGAACCCTGAGTTCAATGACCCTAACGATAATCACATCGGAATCGATCTCAACAATATTGAATCGAAAATGAGTGTTGACGCCGGGTATTACAACTCCTCCGGTGGATTTGTCCCCGTGCGAATGCGCAGCGGGGAAAATATTCGAGCTTGGATTGAATTCGATGGGGAGAATTTTCAGATAAATGTTACCGTTGCTCCGATCGGGGTTTCACGGCCGGTGAGACCAACGCTTACGTTTCAGGATCCAGCTATTGCTGACTATGTCTCTTCTGATATGTATGTTGGGTTTTCGGCTTCGAAGACGAACTGGATTGAGGAGCAGAGAATTTTAGCATGGAGTTTCAGCAATTCCGGAACTGCGAGAGAGATTAACACGACGAATTTTCCAGTTTTCGAACCAAAGTCGACATCTTCTTCGCTTTCCGGTGGAGCAATTGCAGGAATTAGCATTGGTTGTGTTGTTTTTGTTGCAGTTTGTCTATTAGGGTTTTACTTGTGGTGGCGAAACAAGAAAGCAAAAGATGGAGATGACGATGAGATTGAAGAATGGGAATTAGAATATTGGCCACATAGATTTACCTATGAGGAATTGAGTGTGGCTACCAGTGATTTCTGCAATGAACGGCTTCTAGGTTCAGGAGGGTTTGGAAAAGTATACAAAGGAACACTCTCAAATAAAACGCAAGTTGCAGTTAAATGCGTTAACCACGATTCTAAACAAGGTTTGCGAGAATTTATGGCTGAGATTTCAAGCATGGGAAGGCTTCAACATAAGAATTTAGTTCAAATGCGTGGTTGGTGTAGAAAAGGGAATCAACTCATGCTTGTTTATGATTACATGCCAAATGGGAGCCTCAATAGATGGGTCTTTGATCAACCAGAGAAGGTGCTAGGATGGGAGCAACGACGTCGTATCCTTGTAGACGTGGCGGAGGGGTTGAATTATCTTCACCATGGTTGGGACCAGGTGGTGATTCACAGAGACATTAAATCGAGTAATATATTGTTGGATTCTGATATGCGAGGAAGGGTTGGAGATTTTGGTTTGGCGAAGCTGTACCAACAGGGTGAGGTTCCTAATACCACGCGTGTGGTGGGAACGCTGGGGTATTTGGCACCAGAGTTAGCAACTATTGCGGTGCCAACTTCAGCTAGTGATGTGTACAGTTTTGGGGTGGTGTTGTTGGAGGTGGCATGTGGGAGAAGGCCTATAGAGACATCGGTGGCGGAGGAGGAGGTGGTATTGATTGATTGGGTGAGGGAGTTGTATGGAAAAGAGTGTGTGGTGGAGGCTGTGGATGAGAGGATGAAGGGTGAGTATGATGTCAGGGACATAGAGATGATATTGAAGCTTGGGTTGGCTTGTTGCCACCCTGATCCTCACAGGAGACCAACCATGAAGGAATTGATTGCGCTCCTCCTCGGAGAAGAGCTGCTGGAGGCTCCCGCGGAAGTGTTGTCAGATTCGGCCCGCGGTGATGGTGCCGTGGACCAAGGCCAAGTGGAAGAAGAAGAGTCGCCTTTGCAAGTTATCGTCCCAGTTTGACTTGACTGCATATAATTAGACTTTTTTATTTGAATTTTTCTTGTTTGGATTTTGAAGCTTTGACAGATAGTGCATAAGATAAGACTTGGTTGTTATTGTTGTTTAGATGTTCTTGTTGATAGATTGTGGAGACCGGAGAATGATCTATTTGTCCCTGTATTTGACTTTTAATTATTGAATTTATTAGTTGATGATCAAAGCCAACGAAGTTTCAACTTTCAATTGTTTCTTCACATTCAAGTCTTTGGTTAATTTGTAGTGTACATTGTACCTGATTAAAGAAAACAATTTTACTTCTATTTAACAAGCATATAACCAACGTGTTAAATTCCAGCTTATTTAATGCATTGACAAGAATTTTGCTACTGCCATCTGAAATTCCAGCTTATTTAAATTCCAGTCTTGTTAAATATGATTGACTTCTACTAGGTTCATTACCCTACTATATAAAAATGCATTTGTACACATGCAGTGAAAAAACATTAGAAGTCTTGTGCATAGGGAGGATACTTTGATTTCAATTTTTATGATATTTTTATTACGTCCAGATGTGAACATTAGTAAGAAGCAATGTTGAAAATACCTTCTACATTCTGGGAAAGATAGGAAATACCGTTTTTATTATTACACCCAAATATCTAACGGGATGCTATACACATGGGGTATTTAGAAAGCTTGGTGAATAAACCACAGAAACTCTGAAAACCTGAAAACAGAGGATTGCACCACATCATTAGTGTACTAAGAAATTATTAGATGCTTTTCCTCTTGCTATCACATTAAATTGTTGGGGTTTAATCATCTTATAGTTGATGTGACACAATTTTGAGTCCTATGAGTGTATGCATTTGGGCAGCCAGACTTGACTACTAGAGGGTAAAGTTGAGAGAGTGGAAAGTGAAGCATGGTTCTGTTCTCTTTGCACATAACTTGAAACAGTCAGATTCCCATTGGCATGCAGAAGCCACAGATTCCTTCATGCTTTCAGGTCCACACACCAAAACTCCAATATTAGGACCACAATTTTCACTCTTGAACTTGTCAAATATATCTGTTCAATTCAAAGTATTCTTCTGTCACTGTTTCTGTCATAATATAATTAGAAACACAAGGAAATAAACAACTAGATCTACCTTTAAAGTTAGGCCTTTCTCCAAAATGGACTTCATGTTCATCAAGAACATTATTAGTTTCACCTGAACTTAGATCAAGGGGTTTAATTTCTTTCTGTGGTGTTGGTGTAATCCCTTTTTTCACCCTTCTCCACCTCAAAATAATTGCCATCAAAGTGCTGCATGCTAAAGCTAGTACAAAAGCAGCTATCAGAACCAGATCCACAGCCCAAGAGGGAGTTTTTTCTTTGGATAATTTGGAGTGTTTTCCTGATGGAATTATAGTATGATTGAAAAAGATAAGAAAACTAAGAAAAAAGATGGAGCAAAATCCCACAATGGTAGCCATCCAACTTGAACTTTCAGGACCATATACCGCATAATTTGGACATGCTGTGTTCAATTGCAGGGTTTTTACTTTAAAGAACCCATTTAACAATTCTCTAATTCCCACCCCTGCTTGTGTTTCTTGGGTTACAAACAACTTCAATTTCAAATGACATTTTTCAGTTGATTTGCTGAGTAGCATATGTGAGATTGAATGTAATAAACAAAAGTCTTGAGCCTTCTTAATGACATATACAAGTTGTATTCTGGAGGGAAATCTAGTTTTGCTGGTAGTTGAATCAATTTCTGCCAAAATGCTCAGAAATGGGGTTATTCCACTTCCTCCAGCAACCATAAGTAGACTGTCATATCTGCAGAGAATTATCACTTTTCATTATTCTATATAACCTTCTACTTGTGCACATTTGAACCAGACTATATAAGACCAAGAAAAACCTTTGGCCACAGATGAATGATGCTAAAGTAT